CACACAGTGCACTCCACTATGCAACCTTAATTCTGGATTCTTGTGATACCATAATACCCTATATCGTTTTTAAATTGTTAAAATTTGCAGTTTTCAAACATAAAAGCCTGCCTAATGTTCTCTGTTCATATAAATCTAATGAAAATGATGCCTGAAACAAGTCAAGCATAATAATTTGTACATGCAGCTATACGCTGTCCTTTTTGAGAAAATGCTCTGCCACTAAGTTTTTGCGGTAAAATGGTTTTCCCTCTAGAGTCACAAAACACCATAAAAATGTATTTATAAAATATGCATTTAGGCAGTATTATACTAAATATCATATAAATTTCTTGATAGGCTCTAATGAGATATTTTTGACTGTGTGATTTTAAAAGCATATTTAAAGTTTACTGTTTAAGAAGACTGAAATATTACTAAAAATCTCAATTTGTGTTTTGAAGGGAGGACATTTTACACAGTGATTCTAAGTTTCTCTTGGAAAATAAACATGCTAGTACTGTTGTTACGTGGCGTTAACTCAGCAGCAGTACAAAAGCTCTGAACCCTGCTCTAACCTGAGCTGATTTCATCGTCTCTGACACACCTACTTTTCATATATATAAAAAGAAGAAAAATGGCAGAAAGTTTCACCATATGATATTAAAAGATAGAACAAGATACATCAAAGAAATAATTCATGACCAAGTGGAATTTATAACAGGTATGCAAGGATGGTTCAACATAAGGAAAACAATCAATGTAATTCATCACATTAACAAAGAAAAGAAAAGAAAAAGAACCACATGATCTTATCAATTGAAGCAGAAAAGGCCTTTGACAAAATCCAACACCCTTTCCTTATTAAAACACTCAACAAAATAGGATTAGAGGGGAATTTCTTCAACATAGTAAAAAGTATTTATGCAAACCTGAGAGCCAACATCGTTCTCAATGGAGAGAGGTTAAAGGCATTCCTTTAAGAACAGGAACTAGGCAGGGAGCTCTGGTGGCCTAGTGGCAAGAAGCTGCACTGCAATCCCAGAAGCGCATGGTTCAAATCCACCAGATGCTCTGCCGGGAAAGGGGGGGCGCAATCTCCTCCTGTACCAGTCAGATTCGATTTGACGGTGTATATACACACACACACACACACACACACACTAATAAAACAAAATTAAATTAAAAAAAAAAACAAACAGGAACTAGGCAAGGATGCCCACTCTCACCTCTCTTATTCAATACTGTATTGGAAGTCTTAGCAATAGCAATAAGACAAGAGAATGAAATAAGAGGTATCCAAATTGGCAAAGAGGAGGTAAAATTATCTCTCTATGCAGATGATATGATAGTATAACTAGAAAACCCTAAAGACTCAGCAAGAAAACTATTGGACATAGTTGACCAATTCAGTAAAGTAGCAGGATACAAGATCAACA